CCTTCTGTCTGGTGTCCAGGGTAGAAGGAAGGCTGCTGACCACTGTTCAGGAGCAGCACTGTCCAACAGAGCTTCCTGCCAGGAAGGCGAGGTTCCCTCTCTGTGCTGTTTGATATAGTAGCCACCAGCCGCATGCGCTGGTGGGCCCTTCACATGTGGCCGGCTCAGTGGGGAACTGAACTGTTACTTGTACTGAAATCTAGTTCATTTATATGTGCATTAGAATGGCCACATGTGGACGCAGTGAAGGGAGATTGCCGATGGCATTCCTGAGAGAAAGAGGACCAAGATGGTGGCGTGGTGAGCAGCAGAAGGAGAGCCTTTCTGACAGTGTGGTGCTCCAGTGGGTGGTGGAAGGGACCTTTTCCCTTAGGGAAAACTTAAGGTGATGCATTTCCTTCAACACCTGACCTGCTGGGGTCAGAGAGATCTCTTGCCTGGGTTGGGATGTGGTGGTATCACTCAGGCCAAGGGATGGCTGGCATAAGAGGATGACCAGTTTTTGCCCCACATCACCATGTGGGGACACGGAGCCACGCAGGGCACTCAGCCTTGGTCTGTTGTCCTTAGTAGAGCACCGCCAGGAGCCAGGAAAGCTTCATCCTCAGCTGCTTTGAGGTGGAGGCAGACTAAAGGGATCTCTAGCCAGTGGGGTGCTTTCGGTGCCTGAGAGGTTACAGCTGCCCTGAGAGACACATTCCTCGCTGGGCTATTATTAACTCCAGCATCACATCCTCTGGTTGGTGTCCCCCTCTCCTCTCAGCTTCCTGTGGCCTAGAACCTTTTCATTGGTAACTCGCAATCTACATGTACACTTTGTTCACTGAGCTCTATGAAGGGAAGCACCATGCTGTCCGACCTCACCCAAGGCCTCCAACACAGTGGGACTCCATTTGTCAGGAGGCGCTAACAGGGCCAGAAGAATTGAGAGAGGAAAGGGATTCATGTTCCCTGCAGTCATGGACAGAATGGAATCCAAACTGGGCCTTCTAAGATGAGCAGGACTGAGTTGTCCCATGAGAGGGGTTGGTGGTGGTGGTAGCCTTCTAAGGGGTGGAGTGGGATATATCCACAAGGCAATGGGGGAAACTTAAGGGCTGGGTGAAAGGGTTTGGGAACCAGCAGAGGACTAGCAGGGTGACACCTGGCTCCCTAAGGTCTTGGCAGTGTGACAGCTGCATGGGGGCCTGCTGGACAGAACCACCATAAAGCAGAAGCCTTGTTTTTCAGCCCTCTGCGAAAGTAAGTCTGGCAAGGACTCCAGTCTTCTTAGGGTGGCAGTCCTGGTCCTATGATTCCAGTGGCTCTGTCCTCACATCTAGGCACAGGTGTGCCTGAGGCTGCCGCTTCCGGCTGGGTGGGAACTGAGAGTGAGCCTGTTTGCAACTGTTTGTGTCTTTCGTTAGGCATAATGAAAAGCTAGGTGTCGGAAGGACTTAAATCCAGTCCTCAGATCACTAATATGCAACAGAATGCTTATCCTTGTGAGATCCTAAGGAGTATTCCAGGGATACAATTAGTTACTTTCTTGTTACAGGAACAAAATGCCTGATACCTAACAGTTAAAGGGAGAAAGTTTTATTTTAGTTCAGTTTGTAGAGGTCTCAGGCTATAGTCAGCCAGCTGTGTGGCAGGGTGGCATGGCAAAGGAGAGACGGTCCATGGTGAGGCAGGCAGCAAGCAGCCAGCAGCAGCAGTAAGCCTCCCTTTCCCTTTGTATTCCATCCAGGATACAAGTCAGTTGGTTGATGCCACCGACACCTAGGGCAGGGCTTCTTCTTTCTTCAGTAAATTCATTTAGCCATGCCCAGAGCCTTGCCAAGCCAACTGATGAACTAATCCAACGCCACACACTTTTAATCCCAGTATCACCCACCTCCCCAAGTCCCTGCCTATGAGTACGTGAGGTTTTGAGTGGACATCTAGATATAGCCCCTTTCACCTCTTCCAGCACGGATGTTCCTTTACCTGCTCTCACTCATTTGATTTTGGCAGTTCTGTGGGACAAGGGAATCAGATAGTTTAGTGCCTGTTTCACAACATGGAAAGGTTAGAGGACTTGCACAAGGTCATCAGGAGCTTTGGGGCCAACCTCTGATTCTGTGGCTTATGCCAAAGGACTCTGACGTAAATATGATCTGAGGTCACCGAGTGCCACCTTTCTATACCTTAGGGTAGAGCAGTGCCTTCCTCACCCCAGCTTCTCCTACTGACCTGAAGAAATAGTAGGAGTTCTCATGGAGGAAAGGCTGGGAGCCCATGGCCCCCTTCATTAAAATAAATTCCTCCTGCCTCTCCTCATTCTAAATAGAAGGAAATGTAGATTTGGAGCAGAACCGAAGGAAAAGGGATTTCCCTTGGCAAATTATTTGCAATTTGTGGATTGGAGCTGACCCAGCTCCAATTCCCTCTGTCTTTGCAAAATGTGACCAGCTTATTAAAGAAGGAGAACTGGAGGCAGGCATCCCACAGGGGCTTGATAAGACAGGAGCAGAGCTAAAACCCACCGGCGTCCTCCTCCTGGTGCCTGAGGCTGCCGCTTCCGGCTGGGTGGGAACTGAGAGTGAGCCTGTTTGCAACTGTTTGTGTCTTTCGTTAGGCATAATGAAAAGCTAGGTGTTGGAAGGACTTAAATCCAGTCCTCAGATCACTAATATGCAACAGAATGCTTGTCCTTGTTGTGGCCTGTGGGTCTCAGTTAATGGGGGAGGGGGGCCCAGTTCTCCCTTTTTGTTTTTTGGTGGTATCAGGGACCACCCCAGGCCTCGCAAATGCTGGGGTAGAGCTCTACCACTGAGCCCCATGCCAACCCAGGATCTGCCTTTAGAGACACCAGGCGACTCTGAAGCAGGTGCTTCAGGACCACTGTCTGAGAAGCTGATGTCCAATGGGACTCCGGAGTATAATCTCTAAGTGACACCCCGCCCCCATTGCTTAAAGGCGCTGCTCTTGTGACACAAGTCCTGGGAGCGCTGATGTTTACCAAGAAGGTCCACTACTCACTGTGTAACCTGAAGTTCATTTAGAAGGCTTGCTTGACCACGGAGGTCTTCAAGAGCCTCTGCATCTAGGGTTCCATGCATATAGCTTCTCTAGCCTACCTTTAAACCAAGGGCAGTGTATGCAGAACAGCACTCATCTATCAGTAGTAGAGAAAAAGTCTCCTATGCATACCCACAGGAAGCTTCTAGAATGTATATTCAGCTCATTTGCCTGCCTGGTCCAGCCTGCCAGTGCCCTGGTCTCTCCCCGCCCCACCTTTCTTTGTCCCCACAAAGCTGTACCTGAGAGTTAGAGACCCAGGGAGAAAGACTCACACAGTCCCAGGTGATTTTTTCCTTTCTGGGGGATCTAAAGAAAATCAATGGATTCCTGTTTCCCCCTTGATCCGAGTTAGCCATGGAATGGATGGGTAAGGTAGGCCACGGGCCTTGACAATGAAATGGACTCCATAAGAAATGAATCTGAAAATTCCATTTATTAAAACAAATACATTGTCCATGTGGGACGAACATGTGCACATCACATTCAGGTTTTCCTGCTTTAACGTCTCTGCATGTCCCTCTTTGTAGAAGACACGGGCTATAGATCTTACGTGGGAAACATGTGAACAACCCTGGGGCTGAGAAACAGCGATGCATATGTGACAATTCACCATTGCCAGGAGCAGCTCGAAGCAAATATCAAGAAAGAAAGAAAAGTTGAAAACTCCCCTAACAACAGGTTTGATTTTCTCCAAGTTTCCTTATGTGGGCATGGATACATGGAGAAGGGGCTTTTATTATTTCATTTTTTCCTTGGCTGGCAACCTCTTCCAAATATTACTAGTAAAATCAGATTCAGAATGAAATTCTTATTTTAAGTCTTCTGATTTAGGTAATATCTGATGCCAAATAAAAATAACATTTTAAACTGGACTTGGTACTGAGACTGTTGCAAATATTTTTTCTTTGTAGAATTTGCATTCGAAATGGGTTTACTGTTTTCACTGACTAACTCCATGGCTGGTTCTCATTATTATTCTTCCATGTTTTACACAGACATGTAGAAATTAGGGCCTTACCTAAAGAATTGTCCTGATAGCCACCCTTAAGATAAAATTATGCTGGTGAAAATTGTTGTGGAATTTCTAAGGAAATTAAGCTCTTTTGATCCTAAACAATAAAAACACAAGCTTTTCTGCTTTAGTAAACACAAATATCCATTAGGGAAAAGTTCTATAAGGAATCTACTATGATAGTGCTGTCAGGTAAGGTGGGAAATGACACGAAAGTGCAGCATCGTCCCTAACTCCGTCTGGGCTGTAACTTCTGTCCTTTCTTCCTGGTATAAGCATGGTCACATGGGAGCTTCATTAACTTGTGATTGCCAAAATGACATGAAGGTGCTTCCTAAGATTTCTAGTTGCATTTAAATTGCTCCAAAAAATCTCAATTTATGTGGAAATATAAGGAGTCTTTCTGAAAAGAAACTGTGTGGACTGGAAAACTCTCTGGGCCTGCTAGTGGCCCTTGTAGTGACCACAGACAGCTTAGTGACCACTTATTCAGTTAATGTTTCAGCTTGCTTTCAAAATACATTTTTAACTGATTCCACAATATTATATTTCTAAGCTAATTGTACAAAACTGGGGTTCGATAAATACCTTGCCAGCTCTTTTTCACCCCCTAAGGATTGTCACTAACATCCCACTGGAGCAAAAGGCCGAGGTTTGTTCAGAACCGAAGTTTCTGAATGCATTCATACCCTCCAAAAATGCTGCCGCGTGCTCTCAACCCCTGCCCAGGCCTGCACCCGAACTGGGCGAACTTATGCCTCCCTCAGCACGCCCGAGAAGAAGCAAAGGAACATGTTCAGCAAGTCTGCTTCAGAATCTGTCCTTGGCATAGGAAATCTTTTCTTTTCCTCCTTTTTAGTTTTTTTTTTTTTTTTTTTTTTTTTTTTTTTGGGGAACCGGGGACTGAACTCAGGCCCTTGCACTTGCCAAGCAAGCATTTTTTTTTTTTTTTTTAATAGAGGAAAGAGAGTGGTGAGGAAAGAGAGAAGGATGAAGTTAATTCGAAGTCAATGGTCTTTGGGGGTTTGAAAGGAAGCAGGATGCGAGAGAGGCCCTTTTTGAGTAGAAGGGACGCGGACACAAGTGACGGATGCTCCTGCAGGGGCTGCAGCTCGGAGTGGCTCCAGCTGCAGGACTGGGAAGCATCACTCTGAACCTCTCATCCCGGGAAGGGAGCACTCGGAATGCAAGGAGGTTGTAAAGACCCAGGGACTCCGACAAGGTAGAGGAGCAAAACAAAGATTTCTTTGAAAAATTGAGAAATGACAAATGTAGGCGCTGTCGGAGTCCAGCAGACCCCTTTCTGGTGGAGCCAGCTGAGGGGGCTGCACATGCGCCCCAGAAGCTGGCTGCGGGGCCCTGTTGTCCGGGGTGGCAGCGTTCTGTTCCCGGGCCACTTTTTTGGAGTCCTCTGTTTGTTTCTTCTGATATTTGAACAAAGGAGGACTCTGGGGTTCTTGGTGAGAGCACAGAAAGTGTTCGTTTTGGTCTTATATTTCTGTGACTCGAGGAAGAGGGACCTTGCTCAGGTTCTCTGACCAAACGCTTCTCAGCTCATGGTGAACCTTTAACTGTCCTGCTTGGGGGTGCCTGTGCTGCCCTGGGTCCTTGCTAACCCAAAATGCTTTGGGATCTGGGAAATAGAGAAGAGGCGCTCCACCACGTTTAATTAGGAGGTATTTTAGGCATGGCTAAGGCTCTGAAGTAATCTCAATTTTCACACTACTGAGGGCTTTTTCTCCCCAGCATCTTTCTCTCTTTCTCTCATCTCTCTCCTTTTATAGTAAAACAACAAAACTTCTGAATGGATGTAACATAGGGACATTTTCATGCATTATTACTCAAAAATTGTCACAAAGATATGAAAGCACCAGTCACAACACATGATTTACTTGCAGAATCAAAGCTATCGTGTACAAATATTAGGAATAGTGATCAGAAAGCACAGACAACCGGTGGTTGTGTTTCGTCATTACCGTGAGGAACACCTCCCTAAGCATTCTGTGTGCTGTTCTTGGAGTTCAGCGTTACACACAAGTCCAGCCTTATCTCCAAACTACTCTAATGGGGAGGGACAGGGAGGAGGTAAAAGGAAGAAAGAAAAAGAAAGGCACAAGGACTAAACAACGATGCCATGGAACCAAACACTGGACTCAGCTTATCAAAGGGGATCTAAAGACAATGTTCATTCCGAGAAGGTCATACGTATCTTAGCTCAGTACAGCTGTCTGTTTTAATGTTTATTTGTTTTAAATATGAAGCAGAAACGTAAGGTCTCATGAGGGGGAGGGGCATAGCAGAAAAGAAGTGCCACCAATTTTATTTTTATACATTCCCCTCCTCCAGGCAGGTCTGCAGAATCAGATCTCTTAAGTCAGGATGTGGCTCGGCTTTCATTCTCTTAAAAGGGACCAGTTCTTTAAACATGCACAGCCTGGAGTTTCGCGATGGTTCTCCTCCCTCTCTTTAAATGCCGTGGGCGAGGAAGGCGCCCACTTTGCTAGAAACTCTACGGCAAAGTCCCAGGAGCCCGGAGGCTCTTTGGCCCCCTCCTGGAGACTTAAAGGATGGCGCAGAAGAACTTCTTCTCCCGAAAAGGGTTTTCTGAGGCCGGGACAGGGGTCAGCAGGGGGTCCTCCTTGGCATGCGCCTCACAGTAGGCCATCAAGTCTGCAGCTGCCTTGGAGACCTAAAAAGGAGGAACAGAAACAACCAGAATTGTGGGCAGGCGTGGACTCAGGCATGTGGCACAGTCAGGCAAGGCCCACGTCTTGGGGTCCGACAGCCTGCAGCCCCTCGCTGCTCTACCACTGCGTGCGTGCAGCAAGATACAACCTCCACATGTTGTCTTTCCTCACCACGGGAAAGGGAGCCAATGATGTGGACCTCACAGGATGCCCCTGCAGGTCCAGGGTGAGGTAGGGCGGGGGAGACACTCAGGGCCGAAGTCCAAGGAGACTCTTGTGGTCAGCGGCATGGCAGCGCCAGCACTGGCCTGGGACAGCCCTGAGAGCCGGATCTCCTTAAGTTTTGGACCCCAGATACCTCACTTGCCCTAGTGCCAGCCCTGCTTGCAAAGGTGAAATAAGTGAGATTCAACCTCTGCAGATGATTTAGGGCCTGGCACAGAGGAAACTGCCCACAGGTCAGTCACTGTGATCACACTTGGCCTCTCTGCTGCAGGGACTGTGCCAGAGATACCTAGAGCCGGGCTGCTCTTCCTCTTTATGCAAACGAATTAGTAACTATGTGCGTGTGTGTGTGCGTGTGTGTGTGTGCATTTGTGTGTGTGTGTGTCTGCGTACAGATACACAATCTTAGCTTTACATGGTACATATTTACATATTTTCATTATATGTTCATAAATACAGAGGTAAATCGTCAAAGTGAATCCAGTAAAAAATGTATAGCCAAACAATAAAAGTAAATCTAAATAATATAATTCACAATATTGTAACTATGACTCCAACCAAGTAGCGTATCTTTTAGGGATGCTTCACTACAGGCTGCCACTGATTTTGGTAACACTGTCATTTCTTAAAAAATTTCTTTTTTCTTTATGTATTTGGTACAGGGTCTCACTATGCAGCGTGGACTCCTGGTGGTCTCCTATCTCAGCTTCCCCAGCACTGGGATTAGAGGCATGTACCATCATACCTGGCCTCCACTCAACATGCCCAGGAGCGGGGCTGGTGTGGTATGTGGTCCAGGGCATCGAACCTTAGTCTCTGTACTTGCCTAAGCAGGCGCTTAGTCCACTAAGCTATCTCGCCAGCTCTCTTACAAAATTTCTGCAGCTCCCTGTTGGGAGTCACCAGAGGAACTTCCTTTGATTGGCCTCAACAGTGGCACATTTTCACTGCCTAAGGGGTGGATTTCATTTTGAAGAATAAACTAATACCCTGGAGATTAAGCAGACGACCAATCAGGAGAATGCCACTCGAGGTCTGAAACACAGAGTCAAGTTGTTTGTATGACATGAGACATTTGCTCTGAAACTCACTCCAAAAGATTTGTTCTGTGTGAGAATAATGATGTCACTATAGAATTATCAAAGCCTCTCAGAGTGGCTACGGAGAACATAATCTCCCATAAAAGCTGGGGAGATTGCATTGTTACTGAAACTACTCATCACCCTTCTTTAGAAGTAAGGTAGCTCCCCAGGGATCTCAGGATTGGCCATGTCACATATGGTTACTCAAGCCGTTGGCATTCAAGCGGAGTTGACATGGGCTGTACTTGGGCAGAAGAACCAGGGCCTCATGTGAATTTTGCCCTCTGCCTGTCTGCCCAGCTGAAATCATTCCTAGGGATCCCTTCATTGACTCAGAGGTTTCAGTACATGGTTTCTGGATGGCTGATTGAGGCTGGCAGTTTTAATCTCTAGTTTTCGAGGCTGATTCTTTTCTACTTAGGTCTTCTTTGCAGGAAACAGGGCATTATTTTGAGAAGGTTTCCGCAGGCAGCTAAAGGGGTCAAGAGCACAAAGCTTTAGACTCTCACTTTCCTGTTTTTACAACTGCATGAGGAGGAACAGTCACCATACTGTAGTTAGAAAGATATTTTAAACACATAAAGTGGCTCATGTCATTCCTGTATTTGAAACCTTCCATAACTTCCCACTGTACTCTGTAGAAAACTAAAACATCATAAAATAGCCAATGGAGTGTGCCTGTATTGGGCCTGTCTGTCTCCAATTTCATGCTGTATTGTTTTTCCTTGAAGGGTCTCTTTGAAGCTTTGAAAGCTCCAAGTTTTTTGCTGCCCGAGGGCTTTACATATCCAATTCTCCAGAACCTTCTTCTCACTTCCTCAACAAACTAGGTTGGCCTAGTTTTCCTCTAGGTGTCAGCAGAAATGTCACCCTCATCTCAGGCCCTCACCAATCACCTCCTTGTGACTTTCCTCTCCTCTCACTCTGTGCATATCACTCTTTCCTTTTAGCACAGTTAGAAGGTTAACTTGCTGTCTAATATTTTTCTTTCCCTTTAGACACTATGCCCCATAAAATCAGGACACTTATTTGCTTACTCGCCACTATATCAGCCTGGAAAGCAATAATTTGAAGTCGCATCCCACTTATAAAAATGCAATGAAGGAATACTTCATCTATGACATTAATGCCAACATTCTGTTTTGCGAATTTAAACACTGAAAAAATGTTATCAAGCTCAAGCTAACTGAAATTCTATGAAATAAAGGGTCTAGAATCTTCAAAACTGTCAAGGTCGTGCATGAAAGTGAAGGGTGTCTAAGTGGTGGGTCAGATGGGATACATATGTGCAACACATAATTCTGAATTGGGTCCTTTTGCCAGTTTGCAATACTTCAGTGGGGGACTCAGATAAGAAGATAGGAATGTGTCAAGATGAATTTCCTGGTCATGAGCATATAAAAGGAAGTCTTTCCTTATGGAGTACATACAAATTATCTGAAGGTGGTAACTTATGCTAAATGATTCCAGGAAAATGAAAATTTTTTCTCCCGTACTTTCAACTCTTCTGTAATTTTGAGGTTATTTACAGAATTAAAAAAAAAAAATACTTTGCAAAAGAAAGGAAAAGAGCAATTAGGGACAAGGAATACAGATAGCTTTTCAAAGTGACACCATAAAAAGGGGGGCCAAACAAGTGAGAGTGGCTGGGAGGAGAAATGGGCTGGTCAAGAAAGGGTTTAAATTTTACTGAAGATGGAGAAATGACCCCCCTCTGTTTGCACGCTGATGGCAACGACGAGGTACAGAGCCCAGCCTGGATGCTGCTGGCTGGCCAAGCTGGCTGTGGGATGGGGCTCGTGAAGAGCAGGAGCAGAGTTCTTCACAAGGGAGATAGCCCTGGATGCACAAGGAGGGAATTTTGATTATAGCATTGATCTTCTTGGCTTGCCAACTACTGAAATTCAACCTTACCAAACTGCTCCCAGAGGGGTGTGTCAGGCCACAAATATCCCCAGTGAAAGCCGTCAGACTGTGAATAGAGGCTCTGAAAAACAATTAGGAGCTACTCCAGGCACATACTTGACAGTTCTGTAAAGAAGCAGTTGTTAGTAAAGGTAAAAACCAGACCCCCCGGGCCGGGGAGCTGGCTCAGTGGAATAAGCGCTTCCCTGGCAAGTGCAAGGGCCTGAGTTCAATCCCCGGTTCTGCAAAAACAAACAAACAAAAAAAGCCCCAACCAAACCAAAAAAACCAGACTCCTCCAAATTTACGTGAAATGTAAAGATGTAAGTCCACTGTCGTTACATCTCGAGATGGAGATACATCTTGAAGCTGTGTCACAACACACATGCAGGCTACCAGACAAAGAAATAAGCATTGAGCAGTTGTCACCGCCTAGTCACATGGGTCAAGGGAGACATCCTTGACTGAGCATTATAAAGGTTTGGGCTATAAAACTATTCTTTTAGCTGGCTTGACTGAATTAATACTGCTACCCAGGGTTGATTTAAAAAGGACTTCAAAGGCCTGGCCAAATAGCTCAGCAGATTAAAGTGCCTGCAAGCAGGGGCAGGCGCAGGGGCAGGGGTTCAAACCCAGGGCCTGCTGTGCAGGCGCTGTCCCTGTCCCCAGGGCATGCTGAGGTAGCCACTGAGACTGGGCATGGTGGCATGTGCCTGTAATCCTAGCTCTTGGGAGGCTGTAAACAGGCGGAGCTCTACAAGTCCAATCTAGTAGTTAGACCCTGAATACCCTATAGACCCTTCCCTAAAATACAAGAAAAATAAATAAAAGGACTTCAAAAATGACATTGGATTGGGGACTTAAAAAGGGAAATGTATACAGAAAGGACAACCAAACTGTCTTTTCCTGCTCTGTCATATTAACTTTTCTCAATAGCAGATGCGTGGGTATTCCCCCACCAAATTCTCAGATGTCACCTGGTACCCTACAGTTTAACACATCTTCCCAAGGCAGCATCAGACCCCAAATGGCCCTGTGGCCCACTGTGTACACCAACTGCAAGCTGTGGGGCCCTAGGATTCTCTAACTTCTATCCCATTTGAGTACAGATCAGGAATTCTCATGACTTTGTCAGGTTCTATAACTTGCTAGAGTGGCCCAAAGGACCCGGAAACACAGTTAACTTACTACTGTCTAGCCATGACTAAGTGTATTTGAAAGCATAAGAATGGAGAGTAGGTGAAGATACATACTGGATGAAGCTGGAGGGATCCCAAGAACAGAAGCTTCTGTCACCATGGATTTGGGGTGCACCATCCTCCTGACATGCGGATGTATTCATTAACCTGAAAGAGTCCTGAACCCTGCACTTCTGGGGCTTTTATGAGGAATTTATCTTGTAGGTATGAAAAATTATTAACTGCAGTCCCATCTTCCACTGAGGCTGTGGGGTAGGACTGAAAACTCTAAGTCTTATTAAAACAAAAGGTGTTGCTGTATCTACATGTGTAACCACTCCCCATCCTGCTGCCAGTTCTGGGACTTGAACCCAGGGCCTTGAGCATGCTAGGTAAGCACTTTAGTGCTGACCTACATCTCCGGCAATTTTATTTATTTATTTACTTATGACAGGGGCTTGCCGAACTGCCCAGACTAACCTCGAGCTTGTGATGCTCTTGCCCCAGCCCTCCTGAGTATTGGGATTATAGTCACATGCCACTGTGTCCTCTCTCTCTTACACAGGAAATTACTATAAACACTGAAGAGTACTTGGCAATGTGTGTGAAGGC